ACAGCCGCTTGCAGATCGATAGACCATCAATTCAGAAAACCACGTATAGTCGGAGTGGGTCGGAGTGGGTGCCAGGGACGTCGGAAGAAGGTAGAGAAGTCCAGATGGTCTGATTTCTGTCTCTCGGGGACTTGAAATTGCTTGTCCGACGTGGTCCGACTGTAAATGATTTTCAAAAAGTGGGCCCATCGATCTGCAAATGGCTGGAACGGATGGGTCGCCCGTCCTTCGAGACGCCTTGTGCCTTGTATGGGAAACCGCATTCGCTTCGCCCAGTCCGCGTGAGTTTAAAAGGTTCTCGTCCGTCTCTTCCATTTTCTTTTCTCTCTTTATACTAGTCTCTCTTGCCCTCTCTTATCTTGTCCCATCATATATAGCCCGCCCTGGCCCGCGTTCCCACTCGTTACACTCCTTTTTGTCTCCTGTAACAATAACGATGAATCCGGTCCTCTTCGCCTTGCTTGCCGGTATCCTTTGTACCGCGCTCTTTGTGAGGTCAAGATCGAAGACCAAACACCTCCCGCTTCCGCCTGGTCCGAAGCCGCTTCCCCTGGTCGGGAATGTTCTTGACATCCCGCTCAAGCAGATGTGGCTTGCTGCAACCGAATGGGCCAAACAGTATGGTATGACAAACTTCTGGATTACGACGATCTGAACTGACTTTGACTCACCGCGCTACTTCGCGTTCAGGCGACGTTGTATATGTCCACGTGTTTGGAGTCGCCCTGGTTTTCTTGAATACAACAGACGCAGCGTTCGACTTGATGGAGAAACGCGGCGCTATTTATTCCGACAAACCTCGTTTGGTCATGACCGGAGAGCTGTAAGTCCCAGTTTCAAGCCTGTAGTTCAGCCCCTCTGACCATAGTCATCTCGGACAGGTGCGGATGTGAAAGCATGGTGCGCGACTTGCATGGCCGCCCAGCCCACCCCGAGTAACCCACTTGTCTTAGGTTGCTTTCACGCGCTACGGCGACAAGATGCGCCGCTACCGCCGCCTATTCCAGCGCGCGTTCGGGCCCGCGAGCATCAAGACCTACTTCCCCCTCCTTGAGATGGAGAGCGCGCCTTTCCTCCGCCGCCTCATAACCACCCCCAAGAATTTCCCCCAACACATCCGACTGTGAGCTTCACGACACTATGACAGGAAATCGGGGTTGACACGAACGCTACTTTACAGCTACGCAGGCTCCTTGGTCCTGAACGTCATCTACGGATACCAGGTTACCACCCCCAACGACCCGAATCTCGTCCTCGCGGAGGAATGCGTCGACCTCCTCGCCAACCGCATCGCATCGGGCGGCGGAATCTGGCCCGTCGACGTCTTCCCCTTCCGTGCGTTCATTCATTTATCAACACGTTAGGCAGCCGTGATCTGATCTCGATCGATCGCCCACCGCAGTCCAGCACATGCCTGACTGGATGCCCGGCTCTGGCTTCCTGCGCAACGCCAAAATCTGGAAGGCGAAGATGGAGGAGTTCGTCGACAGGCCGTACTCGTATGTCAAGGAGCAGATGGTAACTTTTGTGCTGAACTGCGGTATGTCGTGATTGACAGTGTTATTGCAGGCCAAGGGAACTGCGGTTCCGTCCTTCTGCTCGACGCTGCTCGAACAGGACGGCAAGTCCGTGGACGAACAGGCCGAGAACGACATCAAATGGGCCGCCAACTCTATGTATTCCGGTGCGTACTCTCACCGCCTCGACACTCGCGCCGGAGCTGACGACATGCACTTCTAGCTGCCGGAGACACCGTAAGCGATTAAGATGACTTGCAGGGCCGTCCTCACATGCCACGCTTTCCCAGACTATCGCCACTATCTCCCACTTCATCCTCGCGATGATGCTACACCCCGAGGTCCTGCGCAAGGCCCAACAAGAGATCGACACCGTCATCGGCCGCGACCGGCTGCCCAACTGCAACGACCGGCCAAACCTCCCCTACATCGAAGCCATCATGCACGAGTGCCTACGCTGGGGTGTTCCCGTCCCGCTGGGTATGCACCCTTCTCGGTTCCGAATAACACGGTTCTGACATATCCATATCCCCAGGCCTGCCGCACCGACTGATGGAAGACGACGTGTACAGAGACATGTACCTTCCTCAGGGCGCGCTGGTACGTACCTTACCCCGGACCGTTCCAAAAATTCTGCCAGCTGACTATACATACGCATTCCCAGGTCTTTGCGAACATTTGGTAAGTCATCGTGCTGATAGGATCGCCCGTGGTATTCTAGAATTCGACGGAACTGACGCGGCGCTCCCAGGGCCATGCTCCGCGATGAAAAGCTCTACCCCAACCCGGACGCGTTCTACCCCGAACGCTTCCTGGAAAAGGTCGACGAGACGACCGAGCGCAAGCGCGACCCGCGAAACTACGTGTTCGGATTTGGCCGCCGGTGAGTAACGGGTTATATTTAGCGCTGGCGCCCGTGCACCTTGAAGTACTGACGTCCGCTACAGACGCTGCCCGGGTAATCATCTGGCGGACGCAGCTGTGTGGCTGCTCATCGCGTGCATGTGCGCGACGCTGGACATCACCAAGGCGGTGGACGACCACGGGAACGTCATCGAGCCCGACGTCAAGTTCGAGAACAGTGTCTTCCGGTTCGTGCATCCTGTAGTACACTTGCCTTCCCTCCAACACTAACTTCACCCAACCCAGCGGCCCCACCCCCTTCGTCTGCGACATCCGACCACGATCAGAGCAGGCCCTCAGGCTGATCAGCCAGGACCCTACAGCGTAAGCGCCTGGCTGCCCGCACGGACTATTCTTCTTTTCGGTAGAGCCAGTAGGTTATTCTCGTGTAATTCGCTTTGTGTTCTGCTCTCGTTGCCGTCAGCTTTGCGTGGTATTTAACCAAGTGTACATCCATATACTTTCCTCTACATTCGAGGCCACAATGAAGATTTTTTCGACTTCTGTGCGTAAAGGAGCTGTCGCCCATGATAACGAGCGCATCTCTATTCTGGCGGGCACGTTCCATGTGCGATACGTTGTGAAGCGGGAGGTGATTGGAATGCCACAACATAATCGAAGGATCCCGAGCCGTCGTTGCTTTCTTCACTGGCCCCGTGAAGGCTGTACCTATCGTCAGCTGCCGGAGAGTCTGTGCTTGTCCAAAAACAAGATCGTGAAGGTTACTCTAATAGACCACATAGTATCACACATGATAGAGGAGTCATACAGTATGTTTTAGGTACCATTACTAGAATAAGATGACAGAAGTTGTACCAAGAAATGCCGATAACGAGGGGACGAGAAATGGTGTGCACTCAGAAGTGATCACGGTTGAAGTCGGCATACGGATACTGAATCTTGAGTTGCTCGATAGCCCACCAGGCGGGGTTTACATACGAGAGGTGCGTGTTTCCGCATCATACCACCCCAGAGTGCAGGATGCCGACCATCCTGCCCTTGCCGTCGAAAATGAGCGAGCCAGAGTCGCCCCGGTCGGAGAAGGGCCCGGAAGTTTTGTCGTAGTTGTAGACAGACAGCGATCTCCCAAGACTCGACGCCAAGCGCGCTGGAAGTGTAGGCCTCTAGGCCTGAGAAGCGTCCCACGGTAAGGTCAGTGCTGTTTCTGACTTCCATGACTGCAGGCCTCGCCATTGCTCCTGGGAGCCGGCCATTGATCCTCATCTGACGATCGTGGGGGTACTTAAACGGTGTTTCGCCATGGTTGCGCGAATAGTGCAGGTTCTTCAATCACTGGCGGGTGGATGTGGCCCCTAAAGATATACTTTATCAGGCAAGGCGATTGTAAGAAAGATGAGGCATAGCGCACCTAGGTCGACAACATTACCCTTAAAGTGGCCCCTGAAGCGCTCCGCATCAACTACGAATGTGCCGATGTCCCTGGTGTAGCGATACCCGACAACAGAGATCGCGGGGGCCCAATCAACATGGCCAATGTTTCGATGCTCAAGATCACCTCATTGAGTTTTGACTTCTTCGCCGAAACCCTCGAGAATGGCCTTGTCCTTCTTTGTCGTGGCCAACCGCGCGGACTTGATCACCATAGACTCCGTGAATGTGGCCTTTCTCCTCACGCCCCAGCTTTGCCTGCAACACCGCAATATCATCTGCAAGGTCGTCGACTCCGCCGCCAAGGTCGGCAACGGCTTTCTCAATCTCTTTTAGGCCACTGCGGAAGCGTCGGGCGCTGGCAAGTCGCACACGCTGACGAGGTGTACCGAGCCAGTAGGATCTTGGCGGAGAACGTGACAATTACTGACACTAAGGACGCTCGAACTGGGCTCGCCAGATCTAGTCTTGTTCTCATGGAAAACAAAGGCGACACTCCCTTGAGCATCTTCGTCCTCCATCTTCACGATAGTGATGGGCATGCCGATGCTGAGTGTCAAGAATCGACGGACATGGTAGATAGGCTTCATGTCGTCGGTGGCGCACAAAAGAGCACAACCAGCCAGGGTCTCTGAGACTCCCTCAAACCACTCTACGACAGCGCGGTGCACTTCGTTTTCCTCGAGGAGAGCAAGGATGTCCGGGGAAGCGAGGTGGGCAAACTCCGGGGTGGAGCCAGGATGAGTCGCGATCCAAGACAGCCCTGGTGATCCTCACCGTGGGTCATAAAGCAAGCTGCATGGATGGCAGCATAGCGTATCTTTGTGTCCTTCAAGATGGTGCTGATCTTTGGCGCCACACTATGCCATACGGGATTAAGCGGTGTATTAAAGACACCGTGTGCCGTCCTTGTAGGCATGGTTTGGATTCGGCCTTCGGGACGACGAAACCGGCAGGTAAGGTAGTTGGGACCTGTAGAGGAGCTCGGGAGGGTTTGGAGAGACCCCGTTGTTCTCTCCCACTCCGAGGGATGGTACAGGGGCGCCGCGATCTCGGTAGATGCATCGTTCAACATTGGTGAGGCAAGGAACCTCTCGGGCTCAACGCTATGCATGCAATGCTGGGCGAATAGAGACTGGTTCAAGTGGTAAGTGGTAAGTGCAGAACAAAGAAGACGACTCACTTAGGAGCTCAGGTTGTACCCTCATTAGGAGGGAGGTCAATTACGCATCTAGGCAACAGCCGAAGCGTCCCCCGACGTCGGCAGCTGCCCCGTCAACACTACGTCTATACACCGTCGAAATAAACCAGACAGTTCGAATACAATATGCGCGTTTATCCTCGAGCGTCTGTTGCCTCGCGTACGGTACAACGAGTCACGGTAGATACATCGACTATATACAACTTCCGCGTCATCTAATACCCGATGCGTCCGCCTACGGCGGCCCCCTCCCATCGCGCGCGAGCTCGCAAGCTCGATCCAATCCCGGAAATCCAGTCTGACGTTAGTACACAACGAATTCAAGTCGTCTTAGGCTCGACGGACCCTAGGCTGTCTAGCCTGACGTGGCGACTCACTTTTGCCGACCATCCTCTCCCCGGCCAAAAAGGGAGGCATTTCAATGTGACTACGAGAGACTACTTCCGAATAGAATGCGTTTGCCAACGATCCAGTCACCGATGCGAAAATGACTTCCTGTTCGAACGATACTACATAGTACATCCAGGATCCCGATATCCTACAGTGGCCAGGCGCGTATACGTACATCCACAAAGCAGAGAGCAGCAACCTAGGGCTACATATATATAGGATAAATTATTGAGAGACCAGGTCGAGAGCGATCGCCCTGTTCCGCAAGCGAGCATTCAGCTATAAAACATCATGAGATACAACCAACACGACGTACCACGCTTGACAATGCTCGTGGTGGGTGGACGCCTCACCGTCCCTTGGAAATTCTGCTCCGCATAGGGTACAGCGTTCGCAAATCAAATCATCTTGATGCCTCTTGCGAGCATCTTTTCTGGATAGCTCTTTGCCACAGCGCTGGCAAGGGTACTTGGTGCCAAAGTGTTTTTTGGACTCGAGGTGGCGCTTTAAAGCGCTCACCTGCAGAACGTGGCAGCATTCCGGCATGACGCACCGAATATGGTCCGTGGTGCACTTTTTACCATACTCCTTCTTGATGTGCGAGGCGACGTGGTCGTACACGGAGGCGCCGTCCTCCGAAACGAACGCGCCGCAGCCGTCTGTTCCCCCGCATACCAGCTTCGGCACACCGTCGATGGGGTCAGCGAAATCGAACTTGATGGCCAGTTCCACCGTCGGCTGCTTGGACTTGGGTTTGGCTTTATTGCAATGGATAGTATGATTTTTTTCCAAACGCGGTCGTTTGGTAGGAATATTGGAAGTTTGAACAGGCGGAGGTCGGGCGAGGACCCGCTTGGCAAGGGGGCGCTTCTTCCGGTGGTTGTCGGCCATTGGAGGGTTTAGAGAAGACTCGGACTCGAGTGCATCTGACGCTGGTATTATCGGGGGCTAGATACAGAGCGTAGTGGCGCTCAACTTAGATAATGTAATATGCTCTCATGAACCAAGACTTACGGCTGGCATCAAAAGCGAAGGATCGATACCGAAATCTACAGATGGTGCAGACGTTGCGTCATGCACCATAGAGCTAGCGATGACGTTTTCAAAAGCAGGTCTATGTCTGATATGAGACGTTCACATACAACGTGAAGGTTTGTTGCAAGCTAGGAGAAGGTCAGAACCGTGTCGCCTCCAAAAACTGCATGACAAACCTATTCCGGCACTCAACGCCGAACCGCCTCATACCAGATGTACCATCGACGCCATCGCTACAGATGAGTGAGTAAATATCAGCATCATGAACATGAAGGGCACATCGATCATGGCTGGACAACACGCACGACGGTTGATTATAATTCGGATGGGCAGCATCACCGATCGCTAGAGACCCGGTGTTTTCATCCACGATTGGCCATGTCGAGCTTGCCATGAAGAAGCTTTGAAGTTGAAGTATCGGTTGTGGGTAGCTTTGTTAGAAGATCGCCGGTGATAGAGGAAGGCGTCGCTATAGATGGAGGAAGGAGAGCGAAGAATGGGCCCCTTTTATACCCCAAGCGGAAAAGCTGTGCTGAATTATAAGGTTTGCCGTTCAACAAAGTCACGGACACCGCGACACCAAGACGCGCGAGAAAAAGTGTGACTGGGACGCGCGCGCGCGAGAGGACGCGACGCGACTTGCCTTTGGTCCGCGCCATCACCATCCCATCGATGGCCCTGCACCCCCGGCAACGCGGCCTGGTATCCTCCTGCTGGAACAGTTTCAGATAGATGCGCCTCTTAAACACGACAGAGCAGCTCACCTTGGCCTACGCTTAGAGCTCTCCTCACCCCGTCACGACGCCACCAAGACCAGGGTGCCACAACACCCATATACGTACCCAGAACGCCACCGCTTAATTGGAGCACAGGATATTAGAACCTACCTGTTCACAGCATAGAAAGGTTTCTTCAGACCATCCGTGATATTGGACGATGTTCGTCCAAGGCCCACTGAGAACTTCACGTCCAACTGCCCGCGCTTCCTCTGTCGACTATTCCTGCTGGAATCGCGCCACCCCACGCGCTACTCACCCGCACCATCTCTGCGATATCTCTGTTGCCTCAAGTGTGGTCGTTGCCACCAGGGGTTTGGGTTGTCCTGAGCGTCTGTGTGGCGCTTCCTGCTTTGACGTACCCTCTACCAACATCGCGAGGTCCCTCAACACAGCGTCGCTCGATTCACCGGAGGCCGCGCCCGGGTTTGGACTGCCATCTGCGTTGAACAATCCACGACGACGTGCTCATCGACACCATAGCCCCGCTCGACAGAACCTTACCGTTTCACCAGTCCTCCCCAGCTGCAGTTGCGGCGGCTTCGGCGACACTGGCGGCCACGCTCCACAGCGAAGTCTTACAAGGGACGTCCTTTGCTGACCTATCGGTGGCACCGTCGCTGCTCACAATCGCACATACCTCTGTCTACGTTTGCCGGCACGATCTCGACGGCGACACATGCGGGCGCTGCGGACGAGCCAACCGGAGAGGATAGATCAAAGTGTTCACCGCTCGAGCACGGGCAGGATGGTGGCCACTCACCGTGCGTATAGGTATGTGTATAACGGGCTTGACATGGATCTGTGATACAAGGGGTATGCCACAGCATGAACGTTGTACGCTTGGACGCCCGCGAAGGATCGGGTAGCTGCCGTACGCATTGCTCGGCTCGCAGTAGAGCATCTGCAAGCAAGTTGCCTTCTGGCGCTTGGGGTACGTTCATGGGGGGCACGCCGGTATTTCAGCAGCATCCTGCAATCAGACTTCCAGCGCTCGCGACGTACGCATCATGACCGTTAGCCTTACCCCCGTGATGTCTTGCGTACGGTCATTCGGGTAGACGGCCCATTTCAGCGTGCCTGCAACTCAACAATCAACTGGCCTGACTTCCCACCTTCGCGCGTAGACATTCAATAAGCGGTGTCATGGTGTACGCGGGGGCAAGTGTCTAAGGTTCAGCTTTCAGCTCTTATAAATAACGCCAAACGATTTAACTTGCCTGGGCATCTTGGGCACATATCAATGACTCTGAGTCTCAGATTCGTTGGGTTGCAGTTAATATGTTTGCTTTGCGGCACTCAGGCTCTGCTAACAGCCGGAAGAGCACACATTGGTTCCATAGGTCCTCCACATTGTTCGTGTCTTAAGACAATGGACTCAATCGTAACAGCCGGACAGGCTATGGGCATCATCGCGCATATATTCACTGTCACAGCCATAGGTAAGATACATTGTTTTGTTCTTGGACGTTTGGCAATATCGATCACACCTCTATTTACAGTCCGAGCGGACGTCTCACCTTGAAAGACTGTGAAATCAGCTTTTTCGACGGGCGGGCGAGATTCGAAGACCATGTCTCGAGGCTAATCCTGCTTTGGTTCTGGGGTATGGTCGCTTCACGATCACTGCAGAGGTGCTACTGTCGAGTTCATGCAATGCAGACGCCGGCAGAGCAACTCCAGCAGCGAACTCGTATCTCCAGGCGCTTACGACGAGTCTCCGTGATATATGCATATTGAGTATTGCCGTATATTCTCGGTGGTTCTCAAGAGTGATGTTGTCGTTCCTTGGGCGACGCAAGGTAAGCCCTGATAGTCATTTCAATCAGGAGCATCTGCACATACCTAGTTGATGGCGTCTCATCCTCGTCGAGGATGCCTCGCCGTTCAAAGGCTCTCCTTCCCAAAATAAAACGAGTCTTTTCCCGCCGAGCTTCGGAGGTTGTAGCGGCATTTTCTTCTGGTTGAGAGGCCTCCACAATATTGATGACCACTCCATGCTGCCAGAGCGACAGACCAGCAACGCTCTGAGAACCTGTGTTGAGAACACGTATGCCAAAATTTTCTCCAGCACCAGAGAGCAAGACTAATCATGTTGTCGACATCGTCTGATGGCAGTCGCCGATCCTTCCAGCAACAATACTTATAGATGGGGACGTTTGGGATATGTGGGCGTGTGGCGAACGATGCGCCGACTTTGCTTCGAAAAGAGCCTGAGTTTACTGTACGATTCAATCGGATGTTTTCCGGCGGTCGCCACTTGATGGCGTGCTTGTGCCACACGTGCCGCGGGTACGCCACATCGCCACCGTGACACTGACAGCCCGACTAACTGTGACCACATCTCGCAGTGTGGCTTCGAATTCCCAAGACCGAGTTAACGATCCATATGGCTCTCAAGGCGGAACATCACAGCAACGCTGCAAATGAGCGTGCAAATCCTTTTCAAGCTCGTTATGAGCATAGATTGTCCGACCCGAGCTTTTCTGTCATACTAGTAAGCTTACCAGGCCTACTATTCAGTAGGAAGACTATGATTTGGAGGCAGTACTGCAGATTGTCCTTACGGAAAACGCGCACATCAGTACCTGAGACTGAATCACAGCTATGCAAACCTTATGCCATGGCGCCTCCGCACTGGCAGCTGTGATGGCAGCGGGATGTCTCGTACCTGATCTTGGCTCACTAATGTGCGCACTTTTGAGTTCCTCGAAGCCTGATACGTTCCAAGTGTCGATGGATTGACACCCCAAGAGAATGAAAGGGCATCAATGGCTACTATCCTCGGTGTAGTTACGACGCCGCTGTGATAGGCGCCTACGTACCTATCTTCACAGCTTCGAAATGACAAGGTTCAATCCATAGCTCATGGCATTCAATAAGCTACATACGACCCATCTATAGTTAGATGACGGATCATGTCTAGAGGCGGTCTACTATATACTGGTCGCCCTTGTACCAGGGCGCTCGAGGCGACGTTACCCCTTCTTCAACGATGGCGACGCTCACATACTCCCAGGTGCGTCTCATGGACAATGTCACCACAACAGCGGCTGAGGATTGCTGTCCCGGATAGGCTAATATCCTTCAGTTATGGGCGCGTATTTTACGTTCGCTGCTGAGCACAGAGCTCTGACTCTCCTAATCAGTTCATGACCCTGCTTTATGGTATAAACTTTACCACCCCATGTGGAGTGTCTCATGCTAATCCTTTCATACAGGCGCATACGTTATATTATTTGGCCTATGCATGCGCGCAGTCTTCTCTAGGGGACAGAACGTCACTCGGATCAACAAACGATTCATATCCATCACCGTGGTTCTCTTCATCCTCTCGACAGCCCAAACAATATGTCTACTCATGCTTACGTTGCTTACTCTGAGCTACGATCAATACTTCATCCCTCGGGCTAACCGCGCATTATTACCTGAGCCAATAATCAAGAAGCTCCAAAGCGATCAGAATATCTTGAACCTGTATCAATCACTTAGTGACTCTATGATCGCGACGACCAAGTACGTCTCATGCAAGCTTATCTATTGTTTAATGCTGAATGAATGCAGCTTAATCGCGGACGGACTTCTAGTAAGTAGTATCTCTCGTCTGCCTATCACCCTGAGTAATCCTCATGATCTACACAGATTTGGAGATGCTTCATCATCTGGAATCGCCGTGTCTCGGTCATCGTCCTCCCGAGCATCATCCTCATGGTAGGCACCGGTAAGCTTTAGCATTACAGATCCAGTCCCTCCGACTAAACATGCTTTCACAAGCCTGCGGATACGCGGTTTCCGGAGTCGACGTCTTCTGGTACCTCCGGAAACGGAACCACCCAACCTTAATGAATGCAGAACCAATATGGTCTCGGTTGCAACACTACGAGATAATCTTTACGAAAGGCTTTCTGATTAGCTCTGCCGTGACAAATATGTCGATGAGCATCCTGATAGGTTTGTTCTTAAGCGTGATCGTCTGTAGCAAATCTTTCATGACCCTTATCTGGCGTTCAGCGTCGCGAATATGGTGGATCATCAGAAAACAGTTGGCCTACCGAAGAACCGCCAGACGATACATGCGATTGGTATACCTCATGTACGTCTACTTATTCAAGCGTATTCGTTTTACGACGCAATAACAACCGCCGCCGAGCAGCACGGAATCGGGCGCAGTATACTCTGTGTCCCTCCTACTCTCTGGTATCTTGTACTCGGCTGGGTACGATGTAGCTGGGGTAAGTCTGCAGTACTTCTCCGCGCATTTCATTTCTGATACATCCCCGTGAACAGTCGGTGGTCATGGGTTTCCAATATCAGCTTGTCGTGCGTACCGCTTCTCGGCGTCGTGGCACCACAATTTACCTTGCTCGCAGGGAATCTTTCCGACAATGATTATCGTCCTTGTGGCCCTCGGAAAGTCTGTTGAGCAAACAGAGGATTGCGGCCCGCCTGAACCCATCCGCTTTGCCACTAATCCGGATCGTAGGGTCCCAACTCGAAGGGTCGAGAGTGACCGCTACGAGGATGACGAGAAGAGTTTGGATAGCCGGAGTGTGGCCGTAGTAGAAATTCGAGTGGGATCAGAGTACGACCGTCAAAGAGTAGACGGAGACTCGAGCACTAGTTTGACGGTTTAGCATTGTCAAGTGACTCAGGATCCCCACATTTTATGGCGGATCTGAGCCTATCGTCCTCACTCCATCATCTTCGGACGGGGTGGTGTCGTCAATATCAACTTGGGCTAGACGTTTGCGAGTGAAAGTAGAACTTGTACGAATACAACATGTGTATATAGGTGTAATAAACGCGATTGCAACAGGCCTCCAGAATTGCTTCCGTTCCTCGACATGCTCGGCACAATGCACTGTCGTCTCTTCCACTATCATGACGCCTCAGCAACAATGGATAGAAGGTATCCTACGGTATATATACAAAACGTCCCCGTAAAATACACTAAAAGAAACCATACAAACAACATAATCGACATTCTCTACTCGAAGTCGCCTATAAGCCACCCCAGAAGGCCTCCATCTCCGCCCCACCCTCCTCCTCCCTCCCCATCCTCAACTCCCTCACGTCGACACAACTGACCACCTTCCTCCTTCTCGCCCTCTTCCTCTCCTTCTCTCTTTCCTTCTCCCTCTCAAACTCCTCCACACGGCTCTTGTACGCGAACCCAAGCCAGTCATCGAACTCGAAATCGAAATCGACCGCATCAGGCAGGTAGACCCTGCTCCCAAAGGTATCGCCCATGCTCGGCGCAGACAGCCACCGCGCCTCCTCTGCGGCTCTCTGCTTCGCGTGCGCGCGCTCCTCCTGCTCGGCAACAAGTGTGGCTTGGGGTATATCGCACGGCTCGGCAATAACGCAGCCAAACAGGCTTCCCTCAGCCCGGCTCATCTTCTGAGCTTTCCAGCCCGCGCTTTCTAGGAGCGTGATCATCTCCCGCAACGTCCTCTCCTGACTGTTAAACATACAGCGCATCTATTCCATAAATCAGCAAACACCTCTCGCAGTATCAGATCGTTCTCACTTCTACTCACCGTCAAATCCATCCAATACGCATTCGCACTTGCCTTGCCGAGGTTACTCAACAGCGGCGCCCTCCAACTCGGCAAGCGTCTCTCCACCAAGCCCCCCTCGTCCTCCTCCGCTCCTTGCTCTCTCAGATCTTCACAAGCCAAGGGAAGCACATGGTCGGCAACTACCAGCCTCGTCTTCCGCCTGCCCACCCCATCCGAGTCCACAGCCACTCTCCTGAGATTGAGCAGTATCTTCCTCGCATACTCATCTGGCCAATCATGCATGATGACCCTCAGCAGGAACACTGCAGGACTCGCCTGCAGGGCAGGTTGCGGCCTGAAAAAGTCATGAGCTATCGGGGCCGCATCAGTCTCATATACCCCGCCATAATCGAAACAGGGGTGTCATACCCATAAACGTGACCCTCCCACCATCCAACAACTCCGGCGCCCTCTCTCTCCACGCCTCCTCCCCCATCTTCACCACCCCCACCCGATCCTGCACCATAAACCTCAACCCCTCGAATTTCCTCGCAAGCAGCAAACTCGTACTCCCGATCCCACCTCCCACGTCCACGACAAGCGCGCCCTCCGGCAGTGTATGCCACGGAAACGCTGACGTCGAATTGAGCCTTGATAACCACCAAGGAGCACCAGACTCACCCAAAACTCCGCCACCACCCAGGTCCTCCCACCCCCCGCTCCCCGTCATTGCACACCCAAACCTTCTCATCCGGCCCTCATTCCCCTTCTCCTCCAACCACGCAAAGAACTCTTTCTCCGTCCGGAACGCCGTATTGAACGGCGAATGTGTCGGCAAGTTGCTCAGGTGCACACTTGGGGGTGGCGCAGGCGCAGGTGAACCAAGCGCAAAGTTCAATGACAGCGAAGTAAGCGACGGTCTGGGTGACAGCGAGCCTTTCGGCGAAAGTGAGTTGAACGATTGCTTCGGCGAGAGCATACGCGTAGGCGAGGGCGATCGCAGGTCCGACGGCTTGCGCGAATGCGAGTGCCTGGACATCACGGGACTCGATGGCAGGAAAGACCTTGGATGCTGCCGCAGCGCAACTGGACTCGCCGGACAGTGATAATCCATAGCATTCAGCCGCGACGCGATCGGACTGGATGGCTGATAATCGCCGGTACTAACTTTGTTTGACGGCCTCTTAGCGTGCCTCGACACCGTTGGCGATGGAGGGCTCCATGGAGGTGCGAGGACAGATGTCGGTGGGATCGCCAACGGACTAGGCGACCGACCGCGGGAGCCAGCATTCCTGGTCATGTGCGCTGGAGCGCCCGAAGGTTCAATATTCGTCCATAGGTCAAGCCCCGCACCCCCAACCATGCCGAAATGTTCCCCAAGGCCAGTCTCGCTCAGGGGACTCCGAATACACCCGCCGCCCTGGCCACCCATGAGATCAGGCTCCGAAGGGAGTGAACCACGCCGGGGAGACTCAACACCAGCTATAGGCGCCGCAGGACCAAGGATAGAGAAGGAGGGGGAAAGGGGACTAGGACTGGGTACTCTGGTCGCTGGTGACTGAGGCGGAAAGAGGCCTTGAGCAGGAGGAGGATGAGCTGCGATTGAGTCGAGAGCAGGAGGGAGGAACGTGTCCGTCATCCACGCCGACGCTTTGAAGAGTTCATCGGAGCTGGTATAAAGCGACCTATAAGTGATTCCCAACAAGGAGAAGGGATGTAGATCCTACCACATAGCGACGAAGGCAGCAACGCCTTTCGTTCCCTCGTATTTCTTTTCTGGGTTCGCCAGAATATCTTGCCACGATTTACCCGTGTCCATAGCGCTGCTTACACGATTTATGGCGAAGGTATCCGCCGTGACTTCGGTAAGTAGGTGGTGTGTTGCCAAGAGACGAAGGATGTGTGAGAGTTTCCCGACATCGCAGCCAATCTTTGCTGCAATATCCTCAACATGCATGCCCTTGCGCCCCGCGTCACGGAGTATCTCTACCGTATGTGAAGCTTCGAAGAACCGGAGGCAAGACGGTAGATGATACTGAAGTGAACCGAGGGGTCAGACCTATTGACGGAACAATCGAAGAACAGTGAACTCACTCCCATGCTTGCATCGCAGAGAGTTAAGAATGGTACTTGTACCATGACCCCGATCTGGCCACAAGCTGCGACTATCTTTTTCACGGCGCTGGCTACATCCGGGTGAGCGGTCAGCTTCTCTGACGGACTCTGAGGATCATATGGCTCAGAGAGGCTAGGGAAATCGACGAGGCGCCGTTCATCGAAGTCCGAATGAAGGGTCCTCGATGAGCCTCCGCCGGGAGAAAACGGAGAGTCCAGTTGTATCTGAAGAGTCGGGAAACTGCCCTGAACGGGTGATATGGGTTCCAGCGGGGTTATAGGAAACTCGGGAGAGAACGTTGGGCTCGACGGCCTCGACGAGTCGAACGACGTCGAAGTCGAGTAGTACGAACTCTCGCTCGACGCAGGCGACGGGGAACGCCAGTAGGGGTTGTGGGCGTCGTCGTCAAGCCCGTATGTCCTGTTATACGATGAGTAGACGCGTTCGATGTCGGCTATCGCGTCGCCGACGATGGCGTGCAGGGCGCGCAGGTCGACGAGGGTCATTGAGGGGGCTACAAATGGCACGAAGGGGGTCGAGGTATAAGGGGAAGCGTGTATGCATAGCGGAATCGAGGTATAGTCAATCTTCCTGAAAGAGATACAATGAGATGCAGACGATTGACGTGAATGTAAGAAGTTCACTACAAGTCAAATCTACCTGGAATGGTTGCCCGCCTACTGCTTTGGGCTACTTTTCGCTTGCCGAAGTGAAGCACAGTCGCGATACGGGTCCGCGTCTCTCGCACTTACTGATGCGAGCCATTCTACGCTGGCAATGTAAAACGCGTTCACCAGACAGATTGGTAAATTAGGAGGGGTTTTATCCCTACTACACTCTGAGGGACATCGCGACAAAGTGAGCAGCTGTGAGCAGGTGCAAGTGTATAATTAGCGCCCAAGTTCGATCGGTATTCCCAATCAAGGACGCTGTGGCTGAGGGCATCTCCCAAGCTACACCAAACAAAGTGCGGTGGCGGGTGGCGTCTCCTGTGAGCATCTACCCATGGGGCCCTGGGAGCGTTTATTATGTTTCTCTGGAAGAATATACCCGTGGAGTACTGTTAGCAAACAATTCCTTCCATTGGAATTTGGAATGTTGTAAAGGCCGCCGACATATCGCTGGATTCCGTCCGCTACTTAAAACGGCCTTCACTTGCGGATGCAGAGACAACCTTGGTGCCAAACAAAGTCTTTCTGACAGTAACAAGGTCTTTGGATTTATGTTGAGGAGTAGTTATTGTGCTATGAATATTACCAGCATTTCTTTGTACACCACAGACAGCCCAAAGCTTACGCGCCGTGCATAGCTGCAAGGAATAGTACGAGCTCTTCGGGAGGGAAGGACATGTTCGTCTACGTATCCAAAAATTCCGGTGTAGGCTCAGAAGGAAAGTCTTGTATTGCGGGCTCGACAGCAATTCTGGGCGCTGGAAGGAGGACTCAATCACTCCAGACAGTGAGTGGGGTTCGATTCATCAGCGGCGGAGCAAAGGAGAGAGGGAATGTACGCTGAAACTTGAGAGGTACGATTCCTTTTTTGACATATCCTTCGAATAAGGATGGAGTCCATGTCAAGTAGTACCTCCCGAACTTCACTAACTCAAGCCACAGCCATATGTTGTCAGAGGCGCATAAGCCGAGGTCGGTCTGTAAGCCCGACGCGGCATGTGGTCCTGCCATGCTTCACTTCCTTCTCCGAGTCGGACCAATTTGGCGTACGGCTTCTTCCTCGCGTTCCTTAAACGGATAATCCAGTCCTTTGCGTATTGCATGGTTTTATCTACTATCATTGAGGGGGTTCTGCAAAAAGTATCGAATTCGGCCTGTAGCATTCCACACACTTGACGGATTCTTATCGGATCTTCCGCATATTGTGTGTAACTTAGTGATGAACGTCCTCATTATTTTTATGCATTTTTATGCAGCCTGTGGAACGTAGGAGAGAGATGCCGGTTCATGTAGGGGGTTCTGCAAAAAGGCGTCACATGCGGTCACAGTGGGATCTCGCCGCGAGCGATGTCACGCTTTTGTCACGATATGGGCCCGGGAGATGTGCAAAGTTGCCTCTCTATCTCGACACGCTCGCTATTTACTCTATCGGGCTGGTGTATTGTACTGTAGACGGCATATTCATGATATCCCAAGCCATTCTGCTGCAGTCCGTTGAGAGCATCACGAGAGATCTAGTGGACACTGTTCCTTTCCCATGGCCTACAGGACCCGTTTTCTCTCCCTCTCTTCAACCACAGCAGATATTCCCATTCTGACTTGGCAGAGGGTCTATTCTAGTGTATATATACCTTCCTGAGCTTACCCAACATTTTTTGGTTGAGTATGGAATGAGATATAAGGGGGTGAGGGGGTTCTGCAAATTTTACAGAACCCCCTCAATCAGTGATGGGCTTAACCGTGGTCAAACCGGGTTAAACTGATTTGACCGCGGTTTGACTGTTTTAACCTTAACGGCGGTCAAGGTTAATGCGTGAAAGTCACGTGAACGCATTGCGACTTCACGGACACGAAGTAAACGAGAACTAAGATATTATACATGAAGATAGGAACTATGTACTATAATGAAGATAATGAGGATTATACTATGCTGTCTAATAGATCAATAGCAGGAAAACTTATGCATTCATTACCTCCTGGTATTGCAATTCAAGATCTAAGTTGTCTTGTCCTCGGGACCAGAGTTCAGTCAGGGTTTGAAAGGTTTCCGTACCAGAGGAGTAGAGAAAAAGATTCCGCAAGAGCCACACCTCATTTCGAGGGATACTAGCAGGCTCTGCAGCCGGGGCGGCAGTGCGCGGAGGAGTGGCTTCCGGTAGATTGAAATCATTGCTGACGGCGCCTTGTACAAGCTCGTCGACGAGCTT